ATCACTGTACCCAGATTTCAAAGCTGTGGTTTCTGACTGTATTACCTAAATTTGTTCTAACATATTAGGAGGACACAAGCGTCTTTAAACAGCAAGTTTACCAAAACATGGAACAACTTTATCTTGTTCATTCTTCTGGGATTTAGCAAATAAAAAATAGTGTGGTAGTCATTACTCCAATGAATAAAGTTGAGTTTAGTTGTTAGTGTGTTTATAAATGGTTGTTTTTTTGTGTTTGTCTGTGTGTTGCCCTGCGATGGACTGGTGACCTGTCCAGGTTAGGCACCAGCACCCCTCGCGACCCCAGCTGGGATAAAGCGTGACAGAAAATGGATGGAAAAAGTTAAATGAAATCTTATTGAATAGAAACACATAGAGTGTCTTTATATGTAATTATTCTATCTATGACAGAAAGTTGTGAATGCTGGTGCTTTTGCCTTTGATTCTGTAATTGCTTAAGGGATAGAAGGCCATACTTATACTCTAGTTGGCTGGAGATCTCCTCAGTGGCCCTGAAGGTAACAAAATACCAAATAACCTCCTAGGCTCTCCTCACTATAAGTTGGATCATGAATATCCTCTTAAACACAGCTCTGCAGCCAAGTGATGTTTCTCTATGAGTCAGTCCAGGTCATGATCTCGGCAAGTTGAGGACCATCCCTTGACTTTTGATGCATAAATCCAATCAAGGAATCCAACAACTTCCAGAAATGTAGTCATGAGGTTTCCTTTGTGTGTGGATGCATTCTGAACATGGACACAGGTCTTTTGATAATATATTTATAATATTTTTAAAACAGCTCCATGCTTCCGTATACGTCTTATGTCTTCAGTACTGTTTGACAAAAGCAAATGGTCCCTTTTGGCCCCCTCTAGAGCCCACCATGGAGGTATGTCCCTACTTACTCAGACTTAACCACTTTTATTGTCATTTTGTATACTCAGAGTGCATACAAAACGAAATTTCGCTTTGTACAGATTTCAGACAGTAAGTGAGCAGCAGCTTTGCAGTTAAATGAAAATTTCCATTTCATAAAGTGCAACAATGATCAAATGTAAACAACATGGAGAGAAAAAAAACTTGGTGCAAGTTCAGAGCAGTGCAAAGAGAAATGGTTATGGTGCAAAACTGCAATAGAAAAAACATTTTTTGAGTTGAGTTCTTTTTGGTTTGGATGGGAAGTGAAACATCTTCAATCTCTGAAACAAAGTCCAGTGGATCGTTTTTTAACTTTTTTGGAATGACTATGACCTGGATGACTGAGAATCCTCCCCAGCATATGGGAGGTTTAACCATAAGGGACTACCTGCTTGCCACATGGGGTAATTCTATTTTTCCCATTCTTGTCATAAAATAAGCCCATGTTTAGTCAGGATGGAGGGGATCAGCAGTTTTCCTAAATTCTCAAGCTCCCACTTAACTCTAAGCCTGAACTGATACTGGCCCATGCTAACTTATTAATGATACAAACTACCATCCTGCAGCTCCAACTGACAAGATTTTCTCCTTTTTCTTTGCATCCACACATCATGATGTGGCCACAAACAAGTTTTACAGTGAGTTTTTTTTTTTTTTACCAACCATGCTGTTTTGCAGGTATGTTCAAACAGGGGTGATGCTAAACGGGGGGCCTTAGCCAATCACTGGCAACCCCTACCAGGTGAAACTAATTCTAACTAATTTTACATGTTAACTGTTCCTGTATAAACAATAAATATGATAGTTACTTACTCACATCAATATAGTAACATTAAAGATAATAAAGGCAGTGTTTATGCTCTTTTCAAGACCAGTTTTTATATATTTTTTCAGTTGACTGTCTCTGTGAGTCATCTTGGAGTTGTCTATACAATTAAAGGTTAAAAAACAACAGATACATTTATTTTACTAATACGTTTTATGTTTACATTAGCATGTGAATATAAACATTATACAGAACAATTAATTATAAAAGTATTGTGGATTTTGTTTTTTGTTTTTCAGGAATATAGGTCCATATCATTTTATGGTGCAAGACCACATTACCTGCTCTTCCCCTTATTGCACAATAATCTCCCAAATACACTTTGGTCTACATTTCTTTCACTGAAAAAAATCATGCATTTGCCTTTGGCATTTACTTAATCAGTTACTTTAACATGGTTGTGATATGTCCTGCCCTGCTAACATGAAACGATTGTGTAAAAAGTAACTAAATATGATTAAGTAAATGCTGAGGCCTTTTTCTTCTCATGGAATCTCTAAGACTGCTTCTGCTTGCAGCTTTAATTTAGAAAGCATAGATGTGTATATTTATATATTTATTAGGACTTCAGGAAGATCTGCCTTACCTTTATAAAAAAAAAAAAATTGCTCCTTCATTTTCCAATTTGTAACGTGTAAATTAACCCTAAACTGGTTAAGGCAGTGGATTGCTTACCCCTCAGTACACACTGGTCCCTGCCTGGCCACCACTAAAACCCTTCTCTGGCTACACCATTTTTCTTCAAAACTTCAGTTCTGGTTCCTTTAACCAGTGCACCTACATGTTTTGCTTTGTCGTTCTTGCCACTGTTGCAGCAAACTGCTAACGCTACAAAAAGCCAATGTCAACAGATTCTCCAACCGAAGTGCCCACCTTGGTGTCCTGGTGTTGTGCTTCAGTCTCTTAGATTACTAACTGAACAGTACTCTGTGAAATGTTCAAAATTTCTGATATTGCTTTATAATGTAACCCTTAGAATAGATTTGTAGTATTTAATCTTATATTAAAAAGTGAATTTTATTAACTAAACTGCTGAATATGAACATTTGATAGCATTGGTTTCTATTTTGAAGTAGGAGTAAAGCATGCCACGCATTTCATATTTTTATAGGAAAAAACATCAATAGTTTTTTCTACAGTCATATACTAATTTGATTTCTGTGTGGTTTAAAATGTCGATTAAATGCTATTTATTTTCCTCTACCTGCCTGCATGCAGTACCCGATGCTACCATACAGGGGCGCTCCTGGGTCATCCCAGTCGGGATGGGGAAAGCAGTGAGGGTTTGATAAACGAGCTGTCCAGGGTGTACCCCACCTCTGGAGATAGGCGCCAGCCCCCCCTGCGACCCTGCACGGATAAGCAGAGGTAAACAATGGATGGATGCTTTGATATATGTTGCTGAATGCTTGACCAACTAATTTATGCATCATAAAAGTCTTGGTGATTACAGCAGGTTCAGATTGGTTCCACCCTGAGAGTTTTTGTTTATATGTTTCATTTGTTTGCGTCAGATTAAAGGGATCACCACATATTATAGGACACGACAAAGCAATGGAAAGATGTAGTTGTGGCCGGTGTTGAGTTTCTGTGTTTCTGTCAGCCCCTTCCTGCCTCCCCTATGCTCTCAGACCGCTTCTGCACCGGAAAGTGCCAATTATTGTCTCTGGGCTCTCAGTTCTCTGAGCCCACTTATCAACACTCCATCAGAGGACCACATGGGTTTGCATAGACCCTTGTTTTCTTACAGACCACCAAGTTACCACCTACAAGAAGTCTCAACCACGGCGAGGAGTTTATAAGAGCTGCAATATTAATAACTGAACTCAAAATTGGAAGAATACTGGCTCCTCTCCACAGGCTTAGATTACTGTTCAAACAAAGATCGTGCATTCTACAGAGCATCACTTTGTTTAATAAATTGGAATACTTATATGGGTTTCAATTTTGCAGACACAATGTTTTTTTTTAATAAGGTAAGTGTGATGTATTGACGAATTCCCTCTCTTTGGCCCTCTACAAGGTAAAAAAAAAAAAAAAAAAAAAAAACAACAATGCACAAAAAAGACAAATTTTCTGCTTTATTTTTTGTCATCTATTTTATCAAAAAACATTTACACATATAAAAATTTTCCACAACATGAGATTTTGTTTTCAAACCATGGACGTACAATTAGCAAAGGGAAATAGTCAATCAAGGAGTAAAATGCGCTTAAAAATAACATTTAAAAAATAGATACAGGCTTTTAAGCTGTATTAAACTGGAATGGGAAAAACAAGTATTTTCTCTTTGGGGGGAAATGAATGGAAATTGACAAATTAAATATTTCGGGAAGATTTTTTATTTTATTTTATCTTTTTTTTTTGTGAGAGCATGTAACCCTGAGAGAATCAGCTGAATTTACACCAATGTGCATCAAAATTTAGCTGGTCTTTAACTTGTTCCTTAAAACGCATTATCCCTTTCTTTATTATGATTTTTAAAAAACAAACAAACAAACAAATAATACATATGGCTACTTTCCTACAAACTGCTAAAACATTTATCCAACAATTGTCCTGCAGCCGCTGAACAGTTTGGTCTTGTTTATATAAGCGGCGGCTTGCTGACCATTTTGGTAACGCGCACATAAATTATAGACAGTTTTAGATTTCTATGTAGCTATAAAAAAAAAACCCTGTATTATTTGGTTTTTTACCCTGTAAAAAATAAAAACCCTGTTTTCTCCAAAGGACTCAACATCTCTTGTATCTGGGGTGGGGAGTAATTTTTGACAGGCCGTCTGAAACCGCTCAGGTTGCCATCATACATTCATTGATTATTCATATACGGGGCTAAGAGTTGGTGCAGCTTCTTTAAAATAATAATATTATGAATAATAAGAAAGATCAAGATTTCTTGGTGTTAATGGATGTTTTTGAGCGGCTCAAATGTTTTCGGACTGAACAGCGTCTTTTCAGACTGTTATCGCCGTCTTCACGGTGCTGCTGTCGCTGTTTTTGTTGCTGTCCATCGCTTTCTTATTTTTGCTCCTTCCTTTGGTGTTCGGCAGCTTGTTGTCTTTCTTCCAGCGCATGCGTCGGTTTTGGAACCACACCTTCACCTGCCGCTCCGACAGACAGAGCGCGTGGGCCACCTCGACCCGGCGGCGGCGCGTGAGGTAGCGACTGAAGTGGAACTCCTTCTCGAGCTCCAGGACCTGCTGGCGCGTGTAGGCCGTGCGCAGCCGCTTTGGTTCCGGGCCGACGTGATTTGGATTGACTGCAAGAAATATATCAAAATAAAAGTTCAATAAATATATTTATATTTTATTTTGCTGAGAATAAATATTTCGTCGTCAATATAAATAAATATTTTAAAGAATATTCTTAAAACACATATTAAATTAAACAAATTTGTTTAAATATAATTTAAAAAATAAAACAAATTTATAATAATTATAAACTGGCTAATATATTATTATAACAACAATTTCTGTTATTATAAAAAAGTTGTAGTAAAAGCCAATCTGGTTGGTGTTTTGGGTAAACAATTGCTACAGCACGTTTTGAATTTAACAAAAAATACAGAAACACATAAACAAATCAATTATAACTTAAATCTCACGATAGGTTTGACTAGATAAAACAAATGCTGTTAAAACCATATAAATAATAAACATAAATGTTCAATAAAAATGTTTTAAATCAATAAATATACTTAATTCCACGCGATTATTACCGACATTACTATTGCTATTTTTAATATTAATATAGGCCAATATCAAATCCGAATATGAATAAAATACCTAAATAAATATGCCAGCACGGCCTCATTCATCACCATTACTCTAAATCAAAGTAAATCAGTGTATCTAAGCCTTATATAAACATCACAGCAGTTATCTTTTTACTCTATGTGCTTAGTGCTCATTTGTGGTCGACCGGGAACAGATCCAAGAAGGATTTTCTGTTGTTGTTGTTGTCTGTGTACTTTTAACTCGCAGGTTTTTTGTTTGTCCGCATCGCTGCACATTAATTTCCATGCACACCGCCTAACAACACACACACACACACACACACACACACACACACACACACACGGTTCGCCTATACTCGCTGCAGCAGGGTCGTAAAACTTTATAGGGGCTGTAATTCTCGCCTGCTCTCGCTGAGGTCGTAAATTATTCGACAGAGAAAAAGAAGATGCTCACAAATGGAAAGAAAGAAAGAAAGAAAGAAAGAAAGAAAGAAAGAAAGAAAGAAAGAAAGAAA